GGCGCCGGCGCGCGGGGCTCACCCTGCGAGCGGGCGTCGGGCGGCGTGACGTGCGCGGCGCGGCGGCGTGACGTGGGCGGCGGGCCGGCTCCCGCAGCGCGCCTGCGCGCCTTTTCGCGCCTTCGCCTCCCTCCTCCTCCTCCCGCCGGTGCGGCCCGCGCGCTCCGAGGGGGATGGGCTGCGCGGGTGCGGGTGCATGTGCGCGTGCGCGCCGGGCGGGGACGGAGGCGGAAAGTCTGGCGCCGAGAGGCTGTGGTGCGCGCGCACTTGGAGAGGGGCCGGAGGTGTGCGCACACCTGGAGAGGGGCCGCAGGTGTGCATCGTGCCGGTGTGCGCGCACACTTGGAGACGGGCAGGCGGTGTGTACGTGTCGGTGTGCGTGCACACTCCGAGAGGGACCAGAGGTGTGCGCGCACCTGGAGAAGGGCCGGGAGTGTGCTTGTGCTGGTGTGCGCGCACACTCGGAGAGGGGCCAGGTGTGTGCAGAGGTGGGGAGGCAAGTGTGTGTGCACGGGTGTGCGCAAGGGAGAGGAGGCCAGGTGTGTGCATGTGCACATGAGTGTATTTGTGGGTGTGTGTTTATGCGGGCGGAAGGAGGGTAGATCTTGTGCGCACAGGTGTTTATGCGGAGGGGGGGTTGAGGGTGTGCACATGCAGGCGTGCATGTCCTTGGAGGAGAGGGCAGAGGTGTGTGCACACTTGGAATGAGGCCAGCTGTGTGCAGGTGTGGCTGTACAGACGCAGAGGAAGAAGGGCCGGTGTGTGCACACGTGGAGAAGAGGTGGTGAGTGTGTGTGCACATGTGGGCAAGCGTTCTTGCGGAAGAGAAAGGCAGACCGGGTTTGTGCAGTGAGCCCATGTGCAAGTATAGGTGCGCAGAGAGGACAGGGTGTGCATGCACACAGCACAGCAGGCCCTGTCCACCTGTAGGCCAGCGGTCTCCATGCCTACACCCAGCCTACACCTGATTCCCCGCATCCCAGTGGGGTGCTCAGGAGGAAAATCAGGCAGCCTGTTTGCTCGCCATCACTGGGTGGGCCTGGTGGACCCTGAGTCCTAGAGACTCCTCCTCCCTGGAGCCCACCACCTGCAGGGCCATGGCATTGACCACCCCACCTTCCACCCCCCAGACTAGAGACCCAGCAGAGGGCGGGCTGGAGTCCGAAGTTCAGGGCTCCCTGGCTGTGTCCGGTGAGGAGCAGAGCAAAGGCGTCTCTCCACGGTGAGGGCAGCTGTTATTCCATTACTCCCCAGAACGGTTCGTGTCCACTCCTACTTCTCTGCCAACCAGCCTCTTCTGCTAACACTGGACTCAGCGTTGGTTTCTTGAAGACAGCAGAAATAGGTGCCTTCTTTGTGCAGATTAGCACAGAATGGGCACCAAACGGTAATGGGGGAGAGGCAAAATCCTGCACATTCCTGCCTGCAGAATGGTCTTATTTCTCTGCTGGTGCAATTTATACCATTCTTGGCCCCTTAGCAGGTCCCTGGGGCGTCGGAACCTGCACCCTCCATGTTGTCCCTCTAGTGGTCATGTGTCCTACCTCCATTCTCCTTGCACAGTATCTCTTTATTTTTTGCGGTATTTGAATATTCACCCCCAGGCAGCAGCTGGAAGCCCCACTCCCAGCCCTTGGACCCAAGTACACAGGGCAGCAAGCCTCTCAGTAAGAGCTGGGGGCTCAGGAAGAAACAGGATCAGAGTACAGAATCTTAAAACCTCTCCCCAGGAACTCAAGATTCCAGAAATTCTAGTGGCGCCTGGGTGGCTCAGTCAGGCATCTGCCTTTGGCTCAGGTCATTATCTCAGGGTCCTGGGATCAAGCCCTGCATCGGGCTCCCTGCTCAGTAGGGAGCCTGTTTCTCCCTCTGCCTCTTCCTCTGCCTACTTGTGATCTGTCAAATAAATTTTAAAAATCTTAAAAAAAAAAAGAAAGATTCCAGTAATTCAACAACATTCGCATGGGATAACTACCCCTAATATTCTAAGTAATGTCTGCCCAGAAATCACTGTAGTGAAATATGCCGAATTTGCAAGAGCTCCCACAGCAGGTAACAGCTCAAGAGGCTCTGGTTTTTCTTGGGAAAAGGGCAAAAAGTTGGTTGGGGTTTTTAGTTTTTGACTCTCTATAGTCATACCACAGAACCCTCATTTCTGTGTTAAAAGGTAGCAGAATTTCTAAAATTTTTGGTTGGAGATCCAAGTATTTTCGGCTGCTGCCATGCCTTGAAGTCTCTAGACTGGATTGAAGAAATGCGACCTTCTTGATGGGTAATGAGCCTACAAGTGCCTGCATCCACCTGACCCTCCAGTGTCCACTCTGTATCTGCAGCATGGGTTCAGGAAGTGTGACGTTTGGGCGTTGACCTGTCCCTTCTCAGTGGCTGGCGTTCAGCGCTGTGTCATCATCCATGGTACTGTTCTGTGTTTATTAGAACAAGGTGATTAGATCCTTCCCGGGAAAATTCCGCATCTCCCAAAAGCTTCCTCTTTCTTTGTGAGCCTGCCCTGTTGAGTCTCAGGGGGTGATACAAATCCTTACCCCCAACCTCCCCACCCCATTAAACTGTCCTTTTTAAGGGAGAATGTGTTCTAGCCCCTTGAAAATTGAAATTCTGAGTGTTTGTTAAATATCCGATTTCCCTCCTTGATGACACGGTCCTATCTCCAGCCTTCCTGTTTTCCACCTTCTTGGATCACAATATGGTGACATCAAGATGTGGGAAGACAGGGATGGGGACAGGGGTTCATGGAAGTTATATAGAATGTTCCTAATGTGGACAAGGGACATTTTCTCATTCTTTGCTAAAATATACAGGCATTTTTAGAAAACTTTGTTCTGCTTATTTTTGGGGTATCATAAAATATCACTAAATCAGTGTGCTTGCTCAACCTCAAGATAAATCCCCTGGTCCTCTCCAGAAAGGCCATGGCTTCTAAGCCCCACTGACCAAGAAATTCTGCAGCCCCCACCTCCTAGACACATAGAGACATCCTTACTCTTCTTACATCATGACTCATTTTGACAATTTCTGGTCAAATTTCTTGGGAAGAGGGCCAGTACTGGACCGTCGTGTACATTAGGCTACCAGCATTTATTCACATCTTAAAAGACTTGCATGAGCGTTTGCAGGCTGAAGCCACAGTCCTTTGGAAACTACTTCTCAGATCTGACAAATTCTAGACTGCGGCATCCAGTTCACGCGAGTTGATCTCACCAGCCTGTTTACTGTTCAGACCTTTTTCCTTTATTTACCCTTTGCCTGCAGTGCTCTCTGGCTTCTACAATGCGAGAAATCCCCCTCGGTCTTTGTCATTTAACCCCACAGCCCTTCTGAAGGGCTCCTCCTGGGAGACCACACCACCCTGGCTAAGATGGCAACAAGATTATTTCCTATGGAATCCTACAGTGTGAGGTGGAAATACCCATGTTGTCCTTACGTCACGTCCTTCCTCCACAGAATCCAGTTACCATCATGGAAGCCTTCAGCATGGGTTTTGGGAAACTTGACTTCATGTACAACCGAAGGCCTTCGGTCATCTCTCTGTCTGCTGATCTTACGGATGAGGAGAGGGGCCTTCCAGCCCCCCTGCTACAATGAAGCTGACATGAAAAGGGAAGTCAAATGGCCTCAGATAAGTAATCTTAGCCTCTCTGATGCTCAAATTCAGTTGACAAATAGAGAGAAATAGAGTTCTTTGGTAAGAAGACAAACCACAGTTTCGTATGTTTTACGTCTCCTGCATTCCTCCCCAAACTCTGAGTGCTGATACTGTACAGATGAATAAGATAGAGGATTGCTAAAATAGGACAGGCAGATTTGCAGACAATCTGGGCTCAGAAGCAACACGCAGAGGCCAGGGAAGCTGAGCCGCCCCCCTCGACCTGGCTGGGGCAGGAGCACCAACATGTAAACTGTGCCTCGGAGACCAGAATGGTTTAAACTGGTCTAAATGGAATTGCTGTTCTAGAGTCAATATCGTGTACAGAAGCCTGGGAATGGGTGGGCTTCCTCCGATGCTCTAGCTTCTGGTGGTGGTGACACTTCCCTGGGGGGACGGGGGAGGAGGGTGGCACTTGCCTCCCGCCAATAGTTAATGCGAGCAGATTTCTTTTTTTTTTAAATTTATTTATGTATTTGACAGAGAGAGACACAGCGAGAGAGGGAACACAGGCAGGGGGAGTGGGAGAGGGAGAAGCAGGCTTCCCGTGGAGCAGGGAGCCCGCTGCGGGGCTCGATCCCAGGACCCTGGGACCATGACCTGAGCCGAAGGCAGACGCGTAAGGACGGAGCCACCCAGGC